TACTAACTCCGTTTCTAGCAAAAGGTGTCCCAGAGAAAACTGTTTCAACGGGTTGGTAATAGAGGGAGAACTGCACGACAAATTGTACCTTTTGACTGTAACACAATTGATTCCAAAGCTGCTGTTGTGAGAAACTTCGGCACCACCGACAGATACACAATTGATTCCGAAGCTGCTGTTGTGAGAAACTTCGGCACCACCGACAGATTTTTCGTCCTCTCTAACAGAGGAGAATGGCTCGTCAATTTTCGTGAGACCATGGTGGCTCTCGAAGAGAAATCGATTACGTCGATCGTGGATGGATTAGAATCAGACTCTGCTGTTGCGTAGGGTCACGTCCTATATTTCTTTTTGTACCATTGTCATATTTTGTAACGTCCTTACGACAAAACGAAGATTGTAATTTATATTTATGCACTTTATATGGCAATTGATTAACAACTCTCTTTGTGAAAATATAATTTTTACGTGATCAAGCACCAGTTTTCAGATTTATTAATGCCGTCGTCTTAGTTCCAGATTCCGTAACATCGTTACGCGAAATTGAAGATTGTAACATACGTTTCTGCACTTAAGTCAGTGTACGCCAACCGATTACCAGCTGTATTTAAGGAAATAAAATTTGTTGCCAGCTGATCGCCAAATGCTTACATGTTGAAGAGGCTACAGGGCTGTAGTTCATGTCAACACACAGTCATTCGCCGTCTGACATCAGATACGCAATAGCTTCCTTGATGACAACATCTTCGTCGTACTGCTCAGTAGTTTCCTCCCCCGTCTCATCTGTCGCAAACGACCCATACAGTTTCATCCGCTTCCTTTTTCCCAACCTCGAAGACTTCGTCATAAAAGCTTCCCATACAAGACAGTTGCGTTCACTCTCCAAACTACGTTGATCGTCCCTTTTCTTCCTTGATCGTTTGTGTTCTTCGTATCGATCGAACCCTGCTTCGGAAATCCATCCGGAACTGGTACATAAGCTGTTTTTGTAGAGACATTCTTTTCCTTTCATTACTCTCCACAGTTGAACATCAGACATAGCATTCCATCCCATGACGTCCAACTGGATATAAGATCCCTTGTAATATTCACTCCTCAACTCAAAGAAGCTGGGTCTATACCCAGGACCAAAGCAGTTGGTACATTGCTTGATGACGGTCCTAGAAAGAAGGGGGGAAAGTGAATTCCACGTTTTTCTTGGATATGTTTGCCCGCTTGCATCCAACAATTTTCTGAGTTCGGAGTTCGATGGGGGGCCGATGCCAATATTGCCGTAGCATTGCTTGTCTTTGGTGTTTGTCAGCACAGGATAACCACACAACAGGTAGCACAGAATGATACCCAATGCCCAAACATAAACATCCCCATCTTTGGGATATTCGTCGTTGACGTACTCCGTGCATATGTGGTCCACCACGTAGTCAACGGCGATGTGGAACATGTTCCTCGACTCAATTTTGTCGAAATATCCTTCTCGGCTGTTTAGTCGTTTCCTGACGATTCCTGTGAGGTTGCAACCATTGAGTATTTCCATTACCTTGGGACCGTCCAGTCGACATAAATTGTCACGTGTTGCAGTCCCAAAATGATACATGTGTGGGTTGATGTCTATGAGCTCCGAAACGGACCATCAGTCTCCTTCGCTTACCCGTGCCTTGCAGTCACGTCGTCGATTCAGTAAACCCTCTAGGTGTCTCACACCTCTTATTTTTGTTTTGTAATCCCTAACCGCAGCCATGGTGGGAAAAAATGCCACCACAAACAGAACACCGTTCCGGATATGTCTAGATACTATCCTGCGGCCAGGTTTGAATTCAAATTTGAACATGCGACGCCTGCCGGATGAGTGCAAAGCACCCAGGCATTAAGTATGGCATTCACGCTACACCAGCAAGAAGTCACACAGGTCTCAGTGACCGATAAGCGCTAGCGATAGTCTACTACGATAATCAAAGGGTGATGGTTCGACTCCAACCACTGTATCTCTTTTCCCTATAAATTTTTTTTACGTACAATATGCACGCACTCTGTTTGAAGACAATTAGTATCAGTTATTTTTTTTTCCCTGAAACAACAAATGGAGACCACAACCTTTTGACTGAACCTTTTCTGACATAATATGATAGAAGTTTTTGATGCATTCTACATAGTCCAGCGCCTGAATTTGACCAAGTTCTGACCAATGATTAACACTGTTCTGGATCACCAGCAATTCTACCTTACACCCCAAAGGCCAGGGGGTTGGTGACTCATTACTCTGAAACAACAATTGCAAAGCACCAAATATTGAGTAAACCTTTTCAGATATGACCAGGTGGAAGTTTTCTATGCATTCTACATAGTCCAGGACAAAAATTTGACCAAGTTCTGACCAATTGACCCTGTTCTGGATCACCAGCAATTCTAGCTCACACCCCAAAGGCCAGGGGGTTAGTGACTCATCACACTGAAACAACAATTGTAAAGCACAAAATATTGAATAAACCTTTTCAGATATGATCAGGTAGAAGTTTTCTATGCATTCTACATAGTCCAGGGCCAGAATTTGACCAAGTTCTGACCAATTAACACTGTTCTGGTAGTAGTTTTGTTTTTTTAAAAAAGACATCATACTATTGACATGGTTCCTGCGTGGTGGTTGTGTGGTGCACAATAGTAGTAGATGTACTACTAGTAATACTATCCTAAAATGAGCCCTTTCAACTGTCTTTTGTGCCTAAGCGATAATGGCCTGAGTTTAGTACTACTAGGTAGTATTAGAATTCTTACTGCTGCTGCCTACTAGTACTAGTAGTAGTACTAGTGTGTTGATACTTCAGAACTGAGGAGGAGGAGGCTCCTTCTCGCAACGATTATAGTACAAGGGGCTCAGCCAGCATGAGTCCCTAGGACTGGACCTACATACCTACCACGTACCTACATTTTACATACTATGATTCCTCCTCTGAACATTCTTGAGTGCTGTATCTCTAATCGTAATTGTGACATGMAGTGTCACTACTACTAGTAGTAGATCAGAATCCTACTAAGAACTCCTTTGGATTGTGTACCATAATCCACAGGGACATGATATGTCTCAAGTGCTTGACATCTCCTAAACACAGTGATGACAACTTCAGATTATAGTATATATATTATAACACACTTTTAATCCTAAACATTATTTTGTGCRCTCCCTCATCAGTAGCCACATCAAGCACCACCACAATCAGCAGCAGCAGAAGTTGTCAAACAAGAACAAAGAAAACCTCCCACTCTGACATTACTGGTGGTGGGGGTAGTGAAAAGTTGCTGTCCAGAAAAATCCCCAACAATGGGATTGATAGTACCACTACTACCACTAGTATGAGGACTACAAAAGGAGCTTACTTGTTCATATTTTCTTGCACAGAAAAAACATGAGCACTAGTAGTAGTACTAATACTAATAGCACTTGTTCTGCTGCTCTACTGGTGGTCACTATGGCAAATTGATTGTACTACTAGTAATGGTACTTGCCTCTTCATTCTACATAGTTAATGAGATATTCTTTCAGCGGCTACTTTTCCCCTATTGTTTCTAATKATTGTTACAGGATTGGCATAGTATTCTTGAACACCCTCAACACCACAAATAATTTCTGGATGACATACTACCACTTCTCTCTCTTCAGAAAAAGCAAGAGAAGAAAGCTAAAGCAATTGGTAATCATATTTTCTTTCCATCTTTTTAGTACTCAAAAAATAAAGCAATTTATTTTCTGSTTGGGTTATGACAATATAGGTGATACTAATAGCATTCATTGGCCACTAGTACAAGTGTATGCAYTGAATCATTTTGCTGTTTGGTTCAAATCGAAGGGCGCTCTAATGACATAAAATCATGGGACATAGCRAAAAAGATAAACTGTCTCAAATTTAGCTTTGGGTTTTAAAGTAGGTAGCACAGAATCTACCAGCTCAAAAGGTTCATTGATATCATCTCTTCATCAACTACACTACATTGCTAGGAATTCTCTRTCTTCTGCTCGGTTTCCGTCCGCATCGAAGTGAGTTCTTGCAAATTCGTGCGGATCTCCTTGGTTCCCATCAGCATCGATTTCAGCACATTTTCCTCGTGCYGAAGTGCTTCTATCGAGGTCAGCGACTGCTCGAACTGCTGCGACGACTTCGGGTCAGTAGCGGCAGCGCTGCTACTGAGATACTCGACAAAACGAKTATTCACACGRTCTTCAAGTTCGTACTGGGTGTCTTCCAACAACTTGAGCAATAAATTCTTCTTCTCTATCAAGATCCGAATTCGGTGGTAATTGATCGTCTTGCCGTCTGGGGCCAAGGCCCTGTCGTTGCCTACAAAACTTGATCGATACGTGTGCTCCTTTCGCTCGCTTTTATTTCCAAAAATAATCTTTGTGGTAGTCGTGGTGATCGGATCCGATCGGTCCTCTAATTCCTGCACTATTTCTTTCAAGAGTTCCAGTGATTTGCTGACCGGGGTGTTGTACCCACTTCCCCAAAGGTCGGTGCGAGCGAGGCGATATTCGAAACTTTCCTTCGGTTGGGGAAACAAACCTGTCAGAAAGTCGCTCACCTTTCCAAAAAACGAAGTGATAAAGACAAATCCATGAAGGCACAAAGCCGTCCACTTGAAAACATCCGAAATAAAAATGCCCTCTGGTTCCAGAACAAAGTCTCCTAAACCAACCGTTGTGACCGTAATGTATGAGAACCAATAAGAGTCGCCAGTGTCGTATTCGTACCCAGGCGTATGGGTRTTCCAGAATCGTCTCGCATCCCAGGCGATGAGCGCGATCCACAAACAACTGACAATTCCCCATACGATTACCCCAAAGAGGGGGTTCTTAAACCAATTGAATCTGAACCGTRTAAAMAAGTCGTCAGCAATGGTCATGTACGTKGTTCCCGTAAGAATCATRATTCCTCCGAAAGCTATGATCGACACCCAACCTAGACACCACACCAAGCTTCTTCCGAATTGTGTCTCGGGAGCAAAGTTTCCTGTTGGCATGACACATGAAGTATTGCGTTTGTCCATTTAGTTGCGGCAGTTTGGAATGAATGGTGCGTATCAGGAGAAAAAAATAGATTGGAAGGAAGAAATCGGTTGGACAGAGGTATCTTTATTATGCAGTGCTCTGCCATACACCTAAAAAAGGTTCTCAATAATCGTTGCGCTGAAGGCACTTACCATATCCAACAGCTGCAACGAAACACCAGAGAGGGAAAGATTTGTAACAATCAAAGAAAATACATGTGCGTTAGAAAAGAATCAATCTCACGAAAACCAGATAGGTTCATGAATCAGGAAATCTTTCAGTCAAAAAACAAAAATGGATTACAAAACCAGAAAGCTGTCAACTCTCATGAATCACTCACTGGTCATAATGGTGAACCAGAACCAGGCCGAAGATCCGACGTTGGACTGGCATCCARATCCACCCGTGGCATCCTTGACGGATTCCTTGGTGGCTTCCCAGTAGCATTGAAATCGATCCATGGTGTMCGTATCGTTATGATTGTAGGCATGAAAGAGCGAAACATTGTCGTGAAAGAGCGAAAAATGGTCGCCGCTGGGGGTTACATAATGATAATTATCGTCGTCAAATGTTTCTGCGTCGGTGTCGTTGCCGCCGCCAATCTCTGCACATCCATAGGCAACGGAGTAGTTCCTGTAGAGGGCTTCTCGGTTTCTATTCCACTCGGCCCTGTAGTATGCGGATTGATTCGGATACGCGCTAGCCTCGATTTGCCTCCTGTTGGGCCTGAAGGGATCGCCCAGGCCTAGCTCTTTACTGTCCCAGCAGCGATTCCAGTTGAAGGTAAGGCCGCCACCGTTGCTCTCGAGCGCTTGAAAGTCGTACCTGGCCACGTCGATGGTGATGTTGACTATAAAGTGGAGCAGCGCACCTGCGACAGCCTCGCAGGCAGCCATGTACGCGTACATGACCGAGGTGGAAGCCGACGAATTCGAGTCATCGATCTGGGCTGATTCTTCCAGTGTAGGTCCTGGAAGGGGTGGCAACACAGGCGGATCGAAGGGTGGCAAATTGATCGTTGGGAAGCTGGTCGTGACGAAGTCTTTAAACCATTCCATGTCGTTGTCAAGATCGAGAATCAGGTGATGGTATTTGTGGGCAATGAAAGTAGCGTTGCCAACACTTGCGGCATGTGTATCGTTCATCAGCCGGTAGTATTGCGTGAGGCACGCCGTCGGTAGGTGCACCAGAGCAGTTGTAGCCTTCTGGACGGGGATGGCAGTAAGCAACCAATCATGCTGGAGGTACAAATCGTTTTGGGAGACCTCGTTTGGGCTTTCTGCCAGGGAGATGACGTATCCCCCCAACAGTGTGGCGCCAATCAGGGAACAGACCAYGAGCTGTCGATGAAGAAATGCAAATGTTCGCGGCCATCGATCTACAATGAGGTGCAGTCTGTAGCGCATCGGCCCGAGTTGTCGTTTCTCTTCGTCTCTGTTGCTTTTCTCGATGTCGAACAAGTTGCTGCGATTGCTGGCGACAACAGTTTCCATGTTTGTTTCGGCTGCTCCGTTTTCGACACTTGAGTCGGGTGGTCGCTCGTTTGCAGTTTCCATTGCTGATTTTAAGCTTGCTGTTTGTCTCGCTCGCCGATTTCAGTTGTCGCGATATTAAATGCTCGGGTTGGTTCTCGATTCGCAAGGCATGCAATGTGCCGAGGATCTCGTGTAGTTATTTTTATGTCGTTTCCTGTCGATCTCGGATAACCTGGAAGGGTGAGTAAGGTGCTCGTATCAGTATGTAGCGAAGAGTAGAGGGGGGCGAGAGATCTCGTAGTCCGAGTTCACCATGTTGGTAACAACCTCATCCCAAAAGTGTCAGTGAAAGATTAATCTGGATGCTACTGTCACAGGTCCTAAAAATTTCTCATGATCTCAACAGCCCCGTCAGATGAGATTGGTGATAGTTTATGCCGGGAACCCGTAGATCTTCGGAAGTGAGATTTAAAGTTCTGGCCTGCTCAGTTGAACAGGTATGAGCAACATAATTCTGAAAGTATCAAAAGTGTGAGAAGCAGTAGTAATCAATCTTTCGTCATGATCACCGTAGTAAAGTAYGTACGTACTACGGTATGTATCGGGTTAGGTAGGTACTCTCTACGAGCCTAACTCGTACGTAGTTCTACTGGAAGGTCACTTTCGACGAGAAAGCACTTCGTACAAATGTTCGTGACCTCAAAAGCGGTAGTATTAAGTATTATTTTATTCTACTGTCGGGGGCGCAACATGTAATTGGACGTTATCCTACCGTTTATTTAGAAACAAAATATGTTCGTAAGCGGGATGCGTACAGACAACAAGTCGAGCAAAAGTACATACGGTACAGTACCGTAGTAAATCAGTGTTTAGTACAAGTACAAGAAGCACTCACTCGTACCCATTACAGCACGTACGAGGAAGGACGAGTACGACTCTACTTCACTGTGTTTCGTCTGTTGGCAGATTCAAAATTTAAAAATCCAAAATCCTGTCCACACCCCAAATTCTCCCGTCCCTCTCATCAAGCATTGCTTTGTTTCCGTGCCAATACGGCTTTGTGRTTGCATCTTGTATCGTGTATCATACGGGACCCTCTTGCTACGGACCCTCGGAAGACCACGAACAAAATCCGTAGGTAAAAAGTACAAGATGGAAACAATGACCCTCTTCTCGGCGCTGCTGCTGCTGTTGCTGCAATCTGCAACGGGCGTTGCAGAAAGCAGCATGAATACTGGCGGAGAGGAGAGCCAAATCCATCTCGGCGGTCCGTCGTCCTGGGTCTTCCCCTTGCTCCTCTCGTGCCTCGCGGGAGCCTCCACTTGCGTTGGTGCCTCCGTGGTGTTTTGTTTCCGCCCCTCCGCGATCCGCCGGTCCATGGCTTTTTCCCTGAGCATGGCGGCAGCCGTCATGATCACGATCTCCGTGGTGTCGATCCTTCCCGAGGTGGCCAGGGGCATCCTGGTGGCGTACAAGGAGGAGCAAACGGGGGCTTCAAACGACTACGGACACAACGCTTTCGGCCTGTTGCTCCTTGAGCGTCTCTTCTGGTTCGGGGTGGGGGTCGGAGCCTATCTGTTGCTTGCCAGGCTCCTGGTCTTGTTGCCGGAACCAGAACATTTGTACCTCCTGGAAGATCCGGGAGACGACGAGGACCACAAGAGGAACTACGATTTGTACCTGTCTGACGACGGCGGCGATGGCAAAGACGAGGAGGCGTCTTCCGGTCTCTCCCCCTTGCTCGTCCGGCGGCGGGCCACCGGGAACACAAAGGGTGGAACCAAAAATGTGGCGTTGGACCGGGCACTGTCGAGCGACACGCTATCCTCGTCCAACCACAGCAGTTCATTGAAAGCGTTGGAGAATACCACTCCGTATCCCGAGGTTGTGGAAACCGGGGAAGACTTGTCGGCATTCTCCAAGGAACGACGAAGACGATCGTGGAGGGTCACCCTCATGTTATTTGCGTCSTTGCTGATCCACAATTTTCCGGAAGGATTGTGTGTGGTACGTCGGTAATCATCGCAATAAAGAGTGCAATCGTTGAAGATGCACATGGGATTTGTTCGTCACGGATTTTTTCTTATTTTAAATGATTCATTCGCTCACTCTGTTAATCACGGACTTGTGTTCGATCAATATTCAATGCTCAGGCTGCCTCCGCCAAGGAATCACCAGAACTGGGCATTACAGTCGCTATTGGAATTTTTATTCATAATGTCCCAGAGGGGATTGCAATCAGTGGTGCGTACTAGATATATCGAGCACATTTTCACCTTCTGGATCGTGTTTCGACGGACTCTCTCACTCGTTCGTTTCGTTTGTCGACAATCCTTTCGCAACGCAACATCGATTCGCGTCACAGTTCCCTGCATCGCCGCACGACCCGACCAGCCCTGGTTGGCATTCTGGCTCGCTAGTGCTTCTGGGCTTGCCGAACCGCTGGGTGCGGTGGTGGCTCTATCAATGCTCGGTGCTAGCAGTGACCCTCCAGACCTGGAGAACGTCCTGAGTTTTGTGGCTGGCGTTATGATCACGGTCGCGCTGAGGGAGCTCTATCCTGAGGCTCTGAAAGCAGCGGAAGAAGCCTCGAAACATTCACAACAGCATTCCACGAGGGATTCCACGAGGGAAGCCCTTCTGTTTCGGAGCCCGCGACTGTCACGGTTCATGCTGCAGCCACAGAATCGATCAATTGTGTGGGGTTCCGTAATGGGGACGGCGCTCATGGTGGCTACAGAACTCTATTTGACGTGAGGAAAGGACCACCAATCGGCAAAAATGTCACGATAGTGGTATGGGGCTGGCAGAATCATCTTTTGTACAAGACAAACGTGATTGGTCGAATCAATCAAAATTCTCCCTCCAAATTGATTTATTGACTGCGGGCAACGTTCTTTTTTCGGACTACACAAATSTCCTTGACATCGCAATGGACTGAGTCCGTCGTGCGATGGATTCGCACCTTTTGTCCGAACATAACGAATGCATAAGTGCGGCTCAGGTTCCCCCTTTGCATCTTGGTCCTGTGACAATGCATGGTTTGCCTTGAGCAGATTGTGTGACTGATGAACTTTTTTGCATTGTACTGCACTGTACTTTGTATTGAAGTGTTATAGTACACTGTATTCTCGTCGAAACGTATTGGGAATAGTACGATACGTCTTCTATCCCAATCGCAATAACTTGCGTGCATAATTAAGAGGCGCATGTCCATTTTTTTAATGCCACACAGAGTCCGTGTCCGGTGTCTCGAAATTTAATATCAATAGTCTGTAGCCAAAGAGAATATTTGGTGTACATAAATTGCAGAGATTGCGCAGAAGTAGGAAGCTTGAACGAGGCACTCGCCTTGTCCACTTCAGCGTTTTCATTCATATCTTTCTAGTAGTAACTCATGCTACTTCACGGAATGCTTGTTTTCAGCCGAGTTCATCTCAAACGAAATTGTGTTTCTTCATTGGGATAAAATCACATAAGGGTATCGCCTTCAGAAGTATCTGACAAAAAACTATGATTCTTCCGGATCAAGTCATTGCTACGTCTTATTCCGCGGTAAATACGTCCTGATTCAGCAATTGCGAGAGGTTCTAGTCACAAGATTGACAGCAAACAAACACTGACATCACAAAGATGTACAACGTGCTTTTCGGAAAAGTGATTTTGCTGTGGTCCGTTCAATGAGTGTAACAACAACTGGAACGACCAAGTCCAAGCAGACAACACCAACTACGAAGAATGAGATTTGGAGTCCATAATCGATGATCTAGCCCTATTATTTTATCCACTAAACCTCATAGTTCAAGCCAAAAACGCTCGAAACAATGCCCACAACAAACAGAAGATACGCTAATTTCAGCCACGAGAGATACCTCGACCCTGAAACTGACTGTTATAATGTCTTCTGAAAAGATCAACCATTTTTGTCAACTATTTAGTATACGTATAATATCATAATAAGGATGTGGTAGCGTCGATATGTCGCAAGAAATGTCCACAGCAATGCCTTATGCTTTTAGATTGTGCTCCAGATCTTCGACTTCATTTCTCCAGGCTTCCTCCTTGCTGATCTTTTCTAGTTGCTCCCTGCTAAAAGCCGATATTTTTCCACTCGCTTTCAAGTCTTTCAAGTTTTTAATTTGTTTAAGATTTCGCAAGAGTTTCTTGCGCTTCTTTTTCGCGGTTCGAACCGCGTCCTCGTCAACAATCGTCGTAGTGGGTCCCTTTACAGGACTATTGTCATCGTCATCATTCTCAGCCGTGACTGGTAACTGCTTTGTGGCTGCTGGCGTTCCGAAAGCCCCACTTTCTACAAGAGACATCAACCGTAATGCCTCCGCCATATCGCTAGAGYTTTCTTCGTACTCAGGGTTTTCAAAATCGTCAGAGTCAAAGTCTACAGCATCATCAGCAAAAGTGAACTCAACAACTTCACCGTGCTTTAGTTGCGGCACTATTGGTTCATCGTCGCTGTCGTCTTCGTAAACACCAATCATTGGCGCTGTTTGCTGTTCGGGGAGAAACTCGGCAAGGGCATTTTGCTGCTCTCGTTGCTCTTTACGTTTCTTTTGATCCTCTTTTTTCTGGATCTTAGCCTTCAGCTGCCCGCACCCAGCATCGATATCGATACCTCGCCGGACACGTGGGGTGGCCGAAATCCCATAATCCTTTGAAAGACAGTCGCAAAAGGCGTTGACACGCTTGACGTTACTTGGTTTGGCGCCCTCGAATCCCTGGGTGGGATTAAGGGGAATGACATTAACGTGGACCATATCCCGGCGCAAACCATAGCGCTTCACTAAGTTTCCAAGTTGTCGAGCTGTCTCAATTCCGTCGTTTTGATGGGCAATTAGGGCCCACTCAAGTGTTACGCGTCTTCCAGTTGTGTCAATGTACTCCTTAAGGGTGGTCATGAGCTCATCTAGGCCACCATAGCGTTCGTTGGCCGGAAGGAGCTTCGTTCGTTCGCCATCATCAGCACAGTGCAAGGAAACAGCCAGGCGTACCTGTGGCATTTCTGTGTCTTTGGCGTATAATTTTTTGATGCTGGGAACGACTCCCACGGTTGACACGGTAATCTTGCGAGCTCCGATGCCTAGCTCGGAATTGATTCTTTTCACGGCCTTGACTACATTGCGGTAGTTAGCCAAGGGCTCTCCCATTCCCATGAAGACGATATTTGACAACCGCTTCGAGGGATCGTTTTGGCGCTTCAGCTCGCTAGCGAAGCGAGAAACCTGCTCGAGAATTTCGTCGGCCGACAACTGACGGGCAAATCCCATCTGACCAGTCGCGCAAAAAACGCATCCCATGGCGCATCCGGCCTGACTGGAAATGCAAGCAGTATAGCGTCCATCCTCGTAAGGTCCCATTAATACCGACTCGATGAGCTGCCCGTCTCGGAGCTGGTAGGCCCTCTTCACGGTACCATCCTTGGATTTTGCCTCGAAAGCGAGCGAGAGTGCCCCCCCACCATTGTCGTTGACTTCAGAAGAATCGTCATCGCTGCCAGCACGAGAAGTGAATTCCAACATGGTGCTTCGAAGATTTTTTGGTAGATTGTTCATGTCATTGGGATTTGTAACGCCCTTGTCTCTGATCCAACCGTAAATTTGTTTCCCGCGGAACTTTGGATATCCCCACGACACAACTAGYTCCTGAAGTTCTTCGAGAGTAATAGTGTGCAGATTTAAAAGCGGCGGCGGATTATCAGTCGTCACGGAAGTAGCTGGAGTTTGTACTATTTTTTGTGGCCGGGATATCCGCTTTTGCTGTTCTGTTGTTGCCTGGGAAGCCGACGAGAACATTATTGTCGTAGAATAATGAATTAACTTCTGACGACTTGAGATTCGAGGGTGCATCCGCATTGTCTTCTTTGTCGACACGAAGGCCTCCACAGCTATCCGACCCGAAGTAGAACGCATACCGATCACTCGGCGCATCGAAGATGTCGYCGTGGTTGCCAGAAAGTAACAGTAAACCATTTTGACGAAAGAAGAATGTCTCTGTAGCCTTTTCCTCGTTGATTCAGTCATTGTGTCCGTAAGAGTGTTCCGTTATCACCTGATCTAAACCATCCAAATAATTTACTATCAGGCTCGGTCGCCTTTGTTCTCTGATGATAGTGTTGTATGGTATAGAGAAAGGCAACGCAAATCGGGAAGAGAATTGTGTCTTTTTTATTCCTTGTGATTGAGCAAATAGATTGACGATGTTTACGAACATCAGTTTTTGAAATCGTTCGGTTTTTTGCATCAACTATGATGTGCTTTTCATGCGTGCGTTTTTGATTTGACTCACTCGTGACTAGAGCGGAAAATCGAATGGCCTCGAAAGAGTACTACCAAACTGGCGTCTCCCGTCTGCCCGCCTACCGCCTATTGATTATTCATGATCTACGGTACCATGTATGATTTTCGTACACATTGTATGTCTCTACGGTAGGTATGATAAAGTACTTGTAATACTACCGGACTTACGCACTGCGAAAGGTATGTATGCTCTTTAGTGCGGTATCACTACATGTTTACAATATAACTACATGTTTACAATAAAGAGTGAGTTGAGTGGATGTGCTGTTTGCTGTCACTCACTATTCACTCGTGATTTACTACGTGGTATTGCCTCCTCACACCACCCTGCACTTGCAGAATCTAGAGACTCGTTCAATTCAAAATTTGTACTCAGTAAATTTTGAAGAGGATCTAGATTGCAAGTGGAGCAAAAGATGATGCTGTTGATTTTGGTGGGGATCTTGGTCGATATAGTGGCTTTTTCCTCACTAATACTGTATAGTTGGGTGGGTGACGGGCAATGGTATGTATAGTCTGGTCGCATCCTTCCCATGAATACATCTGTATGTTCATAGAATTTGGTTCGACCAGTCGGTTTTCTCAGTGAGTCACTGTAATTCTCATCAGACTTTGTTTCAAGAAAGTTAATGTGTTCATCATCAGTCCATTGTAAGATCACAAAGTGTTTCATTTCCACGTGTTGTGTTCTCCGAGTAGGTTGATGTGCATTAGCCATTCTCACTGCACCATGGTTATCAGCTAGGATGGGAGTGGCTTTTGTTTGTGGGATTTGCAGTTCCTCCAGTATCCATCAAAGGTAGAGAGCAGCTTTTCCTGCATCTGCCATGTTGGTGAATTCAGCCTCTGTGGAGCTTTGAGCTATGGTTGGTTGGAGGCGTGTCCTATAGTATGTTGCTGCTCCTGCTAGCATGATAATAACCCCGCCCATGGATCTTCTTTGCAGTCTGTCTGATGCCCAAGTTGTGTCACAGGATCCGTGTATTTGCAGTGGTTCCGGTGATTGGTAGAATTTCTCCAGAGTATGTAGGCTGGTGTATGGTGTTGGTAGTGGTTTTTCTGGGAGATCCATTCTCGGTTCCGGACGCCAGTAGGTTAGTCCCTCATCCTTTGTTACCAGGAGCTACATAAACACTTGTTTTAGTGCTTCATAGTGTATTTTAGCTGGTTTATGTGAGTGGTGGCTGAGTGTTATAACTGCAATGGAAACTTTACTCTACATCGATCATCGATGATCGATACAACGATCTTGAAAAAAGTATCGCACAAACAACATTCTCAATGAAGTAACTTATGGACTGGTAACAAGCCATAACAAATCGAATGGTTTGATATTGAGAATTGACTGGATCACCGCATCCATTCATATGAGGCGTGTCCCGGTGGCAATCGGTGCCCTGACTTTCTATGCCCAGTGCAAACGCATTAATCCTGCCTGGAATCCAAGAGATTGAAATTCCTACGCAGAATCAACGACTAGTCGGCATAAGAGGCGGTGCCTTCAGAGCATCAAAGATATTCAAAGAAAGATTCAAAACAAAAAACAAAATCAAAACCGGCATATTATATTTATTTTGTTCCGAGTGAATGCAATTAAAGGTATCGGAGACTCGTAAAGATTTCATTCCATTGTTTTGATTGACGCCGAAGAATCCGTATTCGTCAAAAGATCACGGAGAGACGCCGATGAATCCATTCTTGGCAGCTCAAAGTAAGCAGAATCGTTGAAGATTTTAGGCGAAAGTCCATTCTCTGAGGAATACGAGTTGGGTGGATGGCGGTACCGTTTCCCCCATTTTCTCTTTGCGAAGATCGCAATCGAGAGAATAAAAACAAACAGAGACGAGTAACCTGTGCACAGTTTGGAAGTGACTCTTGCRAATAATGATGACGAAGACAGCAACAATGTAGATTCGGATTCGTCTGGGCTTGGCGACGGCAGCACAAACTCCTCGAGTTCGCCCGGTACGAAGTGTACCGCACCAGGGAAGGCGCCATTCAAAACTTGCACCGGACGACCCTGCTGGTTCTTCTTGCCAACAACGATGCTACCAAAATTTCCGTGGCCACCTTCCGATCCAAAGCATCCAAAGACTATTGTTTCGGGAGATCCATTCCCATCGGTTGGGTCGTCACTCCATATCACATCCAGTCCTGTTACCAGTGTGGTCTGCCGTTCATAGTTGATGAACTTAGACTTTTCTGCGTCTTGAAGTTTGCAGAAGGAAGCGACCTGCGCTTTCGTGAGCACGATTTGTTCCTCGCCTTCTGGCTGGACGCGAACAATTCCGTCTTGTTCTGTGGTGACGGAAATGGGCATGCATCCAATACCAATGTTGAAAATGGTCCGGCAGAGGTGATCGGGCCGGCCCGTGGTGGGATTGGTGTGCGTTCGGAGGGTGCCTCCGTCTTTCGTGTTCGCATCAAGAAAGATGCYATCCACAACAGTACCGTTGCCACTGATCGTAAGGTGTTGGTGGTCTTCGAGGCCCCCGTTCCCGTTCGGGATGCCACCCTCGGAGAAGCCCCAAACGTGGCTCGTTAGATCCGTCGTGTGGCGGCGTTCCTCCGTGATTGGGCTCTGGAGGGTTGACAGTAGGAAGCTCCGGCGGCTGTGCTTCGGATTCTTGCTAGCCGGYAGGACGGCAAACCCACCGTGGGGAAGGACGACCTCGCGGCCCTTGGAGCTCTGAAAGGCAATCGCAACGGGTTCTGTGCACCGAGCAAAGTTGTTTTCCATCACCTGGAACTGATCGGTCGTGCAGTAGGGGTCCTCTGTCTTTAATCGAGAGACTCCAATAGTCCACTCGAGCTTCTTTCCTTCGCCTCGGTTGCTGTTGGCCGGATCGCAGTTTGCGTAAAAGCCTTCCCAGGAAACAAAGACGTCCCCGGTGCTCTCGTCCACGGCGGAACTTCGGGGAACCGTCCTCACGTACGCGTGGGTGTGCGCATAGTAACCGTTTTCTTCGTCCGTGGAATAGGCAAATGGATCGTCGTCGACGCTTCCATCGTAGGGACAGCAGCGAAAATTGCATTCGTTCCAGTCGAAAACCTCGAACGTTCGAAACACAGATTGGAACATGAGCTCCTGCGAAACAGCATTTTCATCCGGTGTTGCTGGGAGCTTGGCACGGAGTATCTCCCAGCTGTCAACGTGGGAGTCGGGATGTTCTCTCCTGTTTTTAATGTGMGAGTTGGCGTAGAGATAGCTGCTCGGTGCCGCAGTGGCAGTGATCGCACCCCGTGTGGTTTCGTGGAAGCCGTTGTGAAATTGCAAGTTGTAGAGAGAAAGTTCGGCGTATGGTCTCCCATCTCGGTTGAAACCGTTCGCGACTTTTCGCGCTTCTCCGCAGGGATGTGGCTCCTGCTGCTCTGCAACGTCTGGTGCTAGCTCGCCTCGAAGCCCGCTTCTGTTTTTGGTGMTTTCGCTGTTTGCAACGTTGCTKTCGAATGTGCACTTGTAGAGACCAGCGTGAGCAACGTGCTCACCATCAGAGAGTGGCATGTGGATGGATGAGGAGGAAGCGAAGAAAAGCGTTTTCTTGCTGCTRCKACGTTTTGTGGCTTTCGCATTTACCATGATGTTCGCCTCCGTGGCGAGATCTCGAGGTGAACTGTATCGTTTCTCTTGCTGATGCCATCTCGACATGATGTTCTAGAATTTATGGAATCGGACTGTTATGGTACCTCTCGATTGATGAACGAAGCTCATAATAGTATTATCAACTTGTTTGGTGTGAAGCTGTTACGCTGACGCTACTGCTTGTCCTTCTCTCATTCTCAAATCACTTTCATACAAATATGCGAGGACGGCGAAACGGCGRGGKGATTTTTCAACTATTGAACAGTGATCAGGCATGCGAGATGTCTTTCTGCGCTTTTTCAGTTCAACAAAATCGTGTTGTGTTGCCATACACTACGAGTTACCCTACCGGTACGTGTTTTAAACTTTTGAGTCACTTAAAAGATTTCGACGATTTAAGAATATCAATCGCTTTCTTTCATCTGGTAGCGAGAAATAACAATAAATATAAATATTACTATCGTGGTTCTCTCATGTAGTACGGTACTATTTCGCGCTATCAATCAATCTGTCTCACTCGAAGATACTGGGGAGTCGGATAAAAGCTTTTACGATCCATATGGAKTATTAATAGTACTTARCAGAGGTTCTTGGAAACAAAAAGATAGYGTGAAAGKAAGAASCGCTATTCATGTAGTTGTTCGGGAATGTTGAAATCAGATTTCTAAAATTATGATGTGGTACCGGTTATCTAATACGAATCACATTTCATAGTATCAAAGAAAACACAGTAACCATAAGTAACCGAAGTCAGAATCTTTTTAAGTCTCATTTTTTCAATGACAAAATAAGGTATTCGGTAGGAGGTTRTAGGCAGGGGATAATCTATGGGTGCGCTTCGCGCTCTGTTTTTGAAACAGAATGAGAGAAAAATCATATTCCATCCTTGGTCCCAAAATTCAAAAATCAGCCATGGGGGTTTTTTCATCTCATTATTACTTCGGTAATGCATAATACTACAAAGTAGTTAAACTACTAGTAGTAGTACTAGTCTATCCCACTTTTGATTTATAGCTTCAACAAAAAATACTCGTCAATCTAATTTTTTCTCCCACTTTTGATTTGTAATAGTAACTCCATCAAAAATACTATTCATATAATATTTGACATTTTTTTCTTCTTGTCCAGGCAACAATATTTTTTAGGATTCTGAATAGTAATAGTACCACCATTCTGACAAGTATCAAGTGGATTTTTGTWCTACTAGTAGTATTTTGCTGTTGAATACTGCTGAACATATCCTCACTACTAGCTAGTACTACTACTAGTATTGGACAKTCCCATAATGCCAGATCCAGGTAATTTAGACCAGGGCTAGAATACTAGGCTTCTCATCTCCTAGTAGCACAACCAAGTTTTATGCACACTGACAGACCAATGAAGGCCACTRACTTCTTGGTATTGTTGGGCCGATRTCCTGTGAAGGTGGACGTTCAATTGTTGATGGTYACAGTTGCGCTGTAGGAGGTTGATATAATTGTCACACTATTTATAACTTTGATGAAATAAGTATTTTACTATGTATAGTACTTTACATTTTGATAAAACAACAGGCAGGCAAGAAGAATCGATCTATGATATTCGATCTTCTTCTGTTGCTGTCATTTTTCCTCTGGTARCCGAGATCTGATCTTTATTTGAAGAGCGATCCAAGTTTCTGAATCCCCTGCCCTATAGCCTGCAGATCGTCGATGTCAACTTCGGTCGCAAGGCTTCCCACAAGAGAACCGATATTGGTACTCTCTGCGCCCCCGGCAACACCCTTGCTCTTGGATCGAACGGCTTTCATCAGTGCCAGGTTGGCCCGGACCAGCTCCAGAACTCCGTGGACAAATTCTTTCATCTGCACCCCGGCATCCCGGACGGCCACAAGTTCCAGGATATGCCCCCGCGCAGACTCCAAATCCCACTCAGCGTTCGTGAACGACTCAATCGAGGTCTGGCAGGTCTTGGCAAACCCACGGGAGGTCGAGATCATGTTCCCGCACGTTTCGATGGTTGACCCGACGCTCGCAAATCCATCGGCACTTCGGTGGATTACCGTCAGGGGGGAGGCCTCCTCGATGCTTGACTGTATCGACTTGAGTTGTCGGACGTCGTCGTCGACGTTGAGCGACGAGGCCGTGGCTCTAATTCCGGGGGGATTTGTTGTCCCCCGAAYGCACTGCTTTATTTCGTCGTCGTACTCGACACAGTTTGTGGCACAAGCCAACTCTGGAACGTCCCTTGTCAACACATCGGGCATCTTCACGATGGCACCGTTGATCTGGTCGATGGTCGCCACCACTTGTTCTACGCAATCCGTAAACATGTCGTCGATGTTGGTCCCTAGGTCGATGCAGAGAAGGATCTCGTCCCCATCCGCCAATTCCCTGAGTGAGTCTACCGCCTTTGCCGCACCGGTCTTGCGGAACTTGAGAATGTTTGATAGGTGGTGATGGATGTTTCTGGAGGTGTCCCTCAGGAGCAGCGATTTGGTCTTGGAGTCGTCACATAGCCGGATCGATTCCGTCACGTACACCAAACAGCCCGCCATAGCGTCCTTGGCATTCGCAAGGGCTCCCCAAATCGCTCCCAGTTTTGCCGAGGCGGTTTGAAAGAGCGCGATGATCCAATGGATGAGCCTCCCGACCTGTTCCGCAAAGTCCTTCATGAGGCCGGACAACCGCAGGCACCTCCAGGCATCCTTAGCCACCGTCTTCATAGGCCCCATGAGTTTTAGGTAACTCTTCGCGGTCATGGATTCCCGTTTGAGGCCGCGAACCGATCCCGATACGGATTCGATGGATTCTGCAAACTCCTGAATGGACAGGAACATGTTCTTGGACAGTTCCCCGTTGGTCCGCAATCCCTCAAAGGCAGCGCTCCCCCTCTCGACGACGGTAAACAATCCAACTGTCTCAACGCCCGAGACAAGCGATTTCAGGTCCTGAACGGACGCCTCGATGTCCGGGAGTTCCGGATCTCCCTTGCGGTGGCCCTTGTTTCTGGCGGCGCTGGCCTTGAGGCCCTGCTCAACGAAGGGCTCGACGATGTCCGGAAGGGCGTCGATGCCTTTTTCCATCGATAGCATCATAGCCTTGGACTTGTCGACGCACTCTAGGGAAAGAGCCGAAAGCTCTTTTGCGAGCAGCGTTGCCGATTGCATCTTTTCGCCCTCAACCAGTTCCTGGATGATCTTGAACTTTGAGGCATCTATTATTCCTTTACTATTGTGGGCACCGGATGCGCCGCGGCTCTTGTATTTACTCTTGCAAACATCGTCAAGGGTCGTTTGGAGTTCCTGTCCAAATGCGACCATTTCGTTGGCCTTATCGATGGTGGTCTTGCACAATCCCGAGGTTTCTCGTGCCATCTCATAACATTCGTCTCCAGCCCGTTTGATCCCGACGAAGTCTGGTGTTTGGGTTGCACGCATTGTAAGGTGTCGTAAGTTTTTTGTATCGTTGGTGATTTGGCAAAAGAACAATGATGAGTAAAAGATCCATGGATTCTATTTTCTAGCCCAAGGCATCGTGATCATTTCTAATCGACGCAATGCATAGTACCTTGCACCAGTACTGTGGCACAATACAACAGCAACCACMAAAAATTCAATAGCGCCCTTTGATTTGATTCTCACCAATAATGATTGGCATATCGATTTTGTCGTCAATCTTGTCGATGGCATCGTCGATTTTGTCAATGGCATCCCCGACTGCTCCCTTCAGCGAATCACCGAAGTTTGCGAACTTGGATGCAAATCTGTTAGGCATGATATGTTGTCAGGTCTCTCCTTGTTATGTGTGGGTTTGATTGCACTGTGTTGGATTTTGATGTTGGCTGTTGGAGACAAAGTTGWATTTGGTGGGACTCGGTTCCTCRAATTCCTCGAATATCTTTTCGGTACTTTTCCTGAACTTGTTGGAAGTACGGTACTACTTAGAGTACCGTACGTACGGCAGCCCAGGAGTCATAATTTTCGAGGGGTGCGGCAAAAACTCACGATCTCTTCCATTCTTCTATCGTACGCAGTACGAAGTACATAATATCAGCGCGTATCGTACCGTACCGTACTGTACAGTAATACTTATGAAAAATTCAACTCGTGGGATTTTTAAAAATTTTGATTGGTCACTTCGGAGGCGGTTGAAGACTGAGTGACATGTTTTGCTCTTGATCACACGCTGAATCTTGCATCTCTTCGTTCCCGCATGAAGATAACTTTTTCCCGTCTCCGCCCAAATCGTGCATTTTTGGATTTTTTTTTTGGAGTTTCCATGATTTTCACCTGTGTTTACTGCAGCACAAATCCTACACAAAACAAGACTGAAATACCAAAAAACAATTACTTTGTATAAAACACCTTTTCTGCTCATTCATTTGCAATTTCTCTCCTCATAATATCTCAGCAAGAAAATTTAAAACACTCCAAACCAGAATATAAACTATCACCCAAACCATCATATTTACCTACTACTAGTACACCATAAAATAATCATATCACCACCACAATGGATGATGATGCTGATTCTTTTTCTGCTGGTGATGGTTGTTGGCAAGAATTGTTCACCATACTATGGTCATACTACTAGTGATGCASACCTATCTGACAACAGTGGTGGTGGCCTATACCCTCACAGTAGGAGCCCCTCCCAAGATGACAGCAGTGTTTTCAGTGGTGATACTACTAGTACTACTAAGTCCTCACATGATGTGACTTAGTACTAGTAGTAAGAACAGTTTGTCTCTTGGAACAAGTCTTTCTGATGATGCCCTTACTACTACAACAATGCTCCCTTTGACAACAAAATTCAAGAACTCCTCCTTGATCTTGACCTCTCTGATTCATCTGATCTGGAGCAGGATGAATTGGAACATCTTCTCCAKGACTCCTCAGTTCTCATGAGTCCAACTACTAGTACTACTAGTAGTAGTAAAATTCTTCCTGCTGGTACACACATGTCTTTAGATGGTGATGAAAAAGCACACAGCAACAATGACCATGAAGAAGAATGCAACAACAATGTCACTCAGCATCAATCTCCTTGTGTCAGGAATTTTGTGCAATTCTTTGAACAAGTACAGGACACTACTAGTCCACCCAAGAGGAGAGGAGATCAGCTCTGTATAGGAGTACTACTGATTCTGCTGGAAGTATCATTCATGATTATCTCCAACAATGAAGAGTTGTTTGGTGGGTTTCATTTGAGGATGTCAAGACTGGTAACAGTCAAATACTGTCAATAAAGCTTGCATTAGTGGTGTCATGGTGACATGGAATGGCAAGAAGTCATTGGGTGATGATGCAGAGGAGTGGTCTCCTCCCCCCCTGTCCAGTATCCATCACTTGGAGGAGGTGCAACCCCAGGTCCCACCCATGCTGTAAGGAACACATTGGATGTTTACTAAGATGGAAGGGTTGGTGAATTTGTTCTTGTTCTTGTTCTTGTTCTTGTTCTTGTTCTTGTTCTTGTTCTTGTTCTTGTTCTTGTTCTTGTTCTTGTTCTTGTTCTTGTTTGATGAAAGAATCCTTCAACTGATAGCAAATGATCCCAATCAGTAAATGTTTGAAGATTGGACTGGAAAGCTCCATACATGATGAAGGAGGTTCTAAGCCAGAGTGGATGCCAAAGACTTCAAAGAATGGGAAAACCACCCTTGTGATTGGGGGATTTGTTTCTTGTTCTGTGTGAACAAAATTACAAGCACCACCTTTGCTCATGGAAAGGTAACTTCAAAGCCAAAAGAAGAAATATGCAGTGGCAAGTATGAAGGGGTGAAGAGGAACTATTGTGGTGCTGTCTGTGTAGAAGAAGCAAAGCACAGGTATCCTAACTCATCAGTGAGGAGATTGAGGAAGTTACCATGGATTGGTACTATGAAAATGTCAAGGAATGGTTGCAGAAGCTGCAATTTTGCTGTATGTACTAGTAAAGAGCATTGGAGTACTAACTTCAACCATCAAGTGTAGTGATGTGTTATAAAWGAATGTATTTATATTTGTTAAAATATTGCTACAAATATATTCTTATTATAATATTGTTTATAGTGATGAGAGGGGTGTGATTAGTAGAGTAGTGTAGTAGTGGTAGCAAAGGAAAAAAATCCTAAATTTTCCTGGTGGCAACATTTGGCAACATGCAACGGGCAAAAGTTAACTGTTCTAGTAGCCAAAAAACAAGGTGTAGTAAACATGATACACCTTGTACTGTACCAGGTACCTTACAACGTACATCTTTTTGTGTTCTTCTTTTGCTTTGACGACTGAGGAAAAAGAGCAGTAGCAGCTACTACTACTAATAGTAGTATTACTACCAGTAGTATTGCTACTACTACGAGGTTGGAGCTACTAGTAGGACTAAGTACTACAAGTACTACATACTGATTTTCCTGTTTCCTTTGCTACTACGAGTAGTAGCTACCAGACTGTGGAATAAAAACCACTACTACTAGCAATATCATTTCCATCATGAATATTTCTACAAAATTTACAATTTTGAGGTGGAGCTGGACTCACCTGGAGCTACTACTACTTCTACKACTACAAAGATAGCATTGTGGCTTCAATACTWCTAGACTGATTCTTCCACCGAGATCCATATTCCGAAAAGTGCTGCGATACCTTATTTCTTGGCWATTCTTTGATAACGAACCGAATTATTTTCAAGGTGAAGATGGGCCCACCCCGAACTAAGGAACAGACACAACTGTCCATCAACATTGGATAAACTTCATCCCAAAACACGTTGCAATATCCATTTCGTTGTCGGACTCGCTGTCAAATGGACTTTGCAACCTGAGTCTTTTTCTGCTTGTCGCGTCCCCAAGCAAAGCACCATTCTGGGCCTCCATAAACATCGAAGTTGCGCTCTTTAAATGAATCACGGGTGCCGTTGCCGGCGTCGGTGCGGCACGGTTTTCTTGTTCCACGTCGCACGGCGGATCAGAAAATATTTTATCTGGACGCTTGCAAGCACTGTTGTCGCCCCTGCTCAATGATTCCAAATCACACCGCTTTTCCTCCGCGCAATGGTCGTCCAGGTCGGAATTTTTTTTGCGCTTGAGCGTCGACCGGTATTCCCGGACGATGTATTCTACCTTGAGGTAAATTTGGTGATGATCAGTGGCTTCGTCCCACCATCCCAGGTCGTTCCAAAACAAGATGCGCTCATTTCGCCTATTTTGGACCTCCTCGATCACATCCATGACAACTTTTCTGGTTTTGACCTGCGGGATCTTGACGCTGGAGCTTCGTTTGCTTCCGTCTTTCGATCTGATTCGTGTCATTTCTTTCGTTTCCGCTTCTAATCGCTGTATACGCTCCAATTTTTTTAGCCGCCTTTCGATCATGACCCGAAACGCCACGTTGCCCGGATGAGAAGTCGTTGATGTTCCCTGGCGAAACAGAACATCGCTGAGGTTGGGACAGTCGATCATTGTGTTTTTATTTAATTGGACAAACATAGAGCTATCCATTCCCGACAAACGCTGTCGCAATTCTCGTTGCTCGATCGCATGGCGGAGGCGTACCCACTGCCGATGGTAGTTGAGCTTGACGGTACCGCTCCATGTGAGAGGAATCTGGTCGGACGGTATTCCATAGGTTTGTAGCATGTATCGATTTTCCATGGCATCTCCCAAATGGTATTTGAGCTTGTATCGGTTGTGGTGGGCAATTCGCATCGCCATGATGGAACGACGGAACCGGAACAATGCTGTGTCGGGAGTGCAGCAATGAATTGCACTTGCTCGTACAGACGCCACCTCGTGGTCTTTGGCCTTCTGCTTTGTGCCTATTTGCGATGTTTTGATCGACTTATCAAACCATACCAAAAATACCAACCCCTTGCGTTGTGTATCTATATCGTTGCATCCAGCTGCCCAGGATGTGTACATTGCAATCTTTGCCTACATCGTTTTTCATTTTCGTTTCGTTCGAATCATACCGAAGGCACGTATGCAATCTCTTTGTGAGACCAGTATCGTATTTGGAAACGGTACGAACAAACAATTCCAAGCAACCAATCAATCCTTTGTCAAATAATTATACACATCTACATACATACCTTTGCATCTTTCGGTATTTTTTCCATTCCTTCTCCGGGTATGATGACTACAATTCTTCTCCCGGAACGGTCACGAGAGGGCAGAAGTTGATAGTAGCCCTGTCTGAAATACTTGAGTTCGTCCTTGCTGAAATCGTGAAGTGTGATGGGCCGCTGCAAGGCGTACTCCCCAAACAAAATTAGGGCCCACTCCAGAAATTCACAAATCCTGAACGCAGTCTTTCGAATGTCGAACAATTCGCACCTCAGAAACCGCAATCGGAATTCCTTCTCATTCACGTAAGTATTTGGTTGGAGTTGACTCTGTTGATATCCCCGCGTTTGAAATTTGGGCAGAGAAAACATCAGTTCCTCTAGTTCCAGAGTGAGCTCCTTTAACGATCGCTCGACGAACTCCGGCGTTTCTTCCGGCGCCAAACACCCGACGCCATGGATTTCTTCTTGAATGTCATTCCGATCGCCAACTGAAAGCTGTAGTAATTCTTTCGAAAGGAGCTCATCGACATATTTCGTATTGTCACCGTCTTTCTCCTCGTCATTCATTCCCAGAGTAGGGTCTGAGGTGGATGGCATGATCTTTCCCATGTTTTTAACTTCCCCTAATGTGAAAACAAACTTTGTCCTCGTTTCTGCCGTGAATTGTTTAATTCGTAATCTTTGTTATTGTTACTGTAGGAACTTCTTTTCTCTTCATAACTTTCACGACAAGACTATCAAGTTCTTCACGTCCTGAAAATGTTGCAGAAAAATGGAGGAGTAATACTAATGTTTTATTTTCAATCTATTCTTGAATGTATAATTAATTTTGAAATACTTAATTTCAATTAAGCTCAATGATGTTAAAACATGGATGCTATTTTGCTGTCCCCTCCCACTGTAAAGAATACACAAAAAATGAAAATCATGACGATTGCCTTATGTATTATTGCTGTCAAATTACGTTAGTATCAATTCTCATCCTAGATTYAAATARAATACTTCGATTATTGTTCTTCTGCTTGAGGAAGGTTTTTTAAGTACAGTACGAACCTGTAATGATCTGTGACTGACGGACGTTCGAATGGGATCTTCGATCGAGAATAGAAATGACGGGAATAAGTGCAACGAGGAAGGCTATTTGACGCATGCCTATGACTAGAAACGAACYCTTAGGAAGCGAATTGTGATCAGAYTGCTGCGCCCTCTGGGAAAGTTAGTATCGTACTTCTACTGAAGTAGAAGTACGAGTTTGGGGTGCGAAATAAGACGTGACAGCTTTTTAACGGTAGGGATTCTACAGGACTCTACGTGTGGAACAATAGTCTTATTATACACCCGGAACATAAAGCTGTCACTTAGTTCCACCTGGAACCAAAAAGGAACTATTTTATATCGAATTATTTGCTATTTCGGAGCTTTCCAAGCTCACTTTTTTCTTCTCAGAATTCAGATCGGCGAAACAAAAAGACTAGTTATTAACATGGAATAGAATCGAAATCAGAATCGATTCCAAGAACAGATTTCTCTTAACATGAAATTACTAAATCGTTTACTACTGGAGCGCTAAGGCGCTAACTACTGGGCTTCACTCTTAGTATAAATAACTCGGATGTGCAAAACATGCAGCAGAAACATTCCGCAATGTCTTCCTGTCTAATTGTTCAAAGAAGCTCCTTGGTGGTATGGATTTGATTGCTGGTTATTACGGTGGTTCTCTCCAGAGGCAGTCCTACCGAGATTTCCCCAGCAGAACCAACTTCTCTAAGTCCATACATACTGCAAAAAAGGAGGGTAACCATTTTAGCGGTATGCTTCTGTTACAGATCCTCTCTCTGTTGTCAAAGGATGGTCCCGCATTCTTGAGGCCTTACCACAGCCAGGAAGAGATTGATGGTCGGATATACACTCTGGAAYTAATTCTGGGGATGGAAGAATTTCTTAAGTGGTCTGGCACCCCATGCGAGATTTTTCACTCAGAGCGTAATGCGAACGGCCGTAACCTCGATGATGCCTTCAAATTTCCCAAAGGGAAAACAGGCGCAAATAACCATGACAAAATGGTTGTTCACTTTATTAACAACATYAAAAATCACCTCGGAAGAAATGAAGGAAACGGTAACAAGAATCTTATAAAGAACCACATCATGTACTTTCACCTTTCCCAATATATCYGGCTTTTTGGGCCTCCATCTGRATGGGATTCTTCTTGAAGCAAAAGCAACCACAAGACAGAAGTTAAAGCTCCAGCCAAAAGAATGTCTTGAGTATTTAGTTCACTGATCAAACAAACTGCAAAACGSCACATAGAGTATCATGTGATAGATTGACTCCATTCTTGCTAGTTTGACATGTAACAAAATGCTCTATCACACCGTATTATAAAATGTAAAGAAGGCTCTTTTTTCCATTGACCAATGCAATGGAACTGGTTTACCCTTTATGAAATGGGAAGCAAAAGAGAACCAAGACAAAACCTTGCATGTCTGCCTTCGGATGTCATTGATTTCTGTTGCAATCATGTTCTCCCAGCTTTGGAAACTGAYGCTTTATCTGGGTTCATGGAGCACAAGAGAACTGACACAGAAAGTTTCAAAAAGCTTCTCTTGTGGGCACATCCCTTGTATAAATCAGACAGTGGACAACAGTGCAACATTTGGTTTGATTGGGCTTATTTTTTATTGCACCTCCCAACAAAAGGGGAGTTATCCCATGGATGACAACGGACATCCAGTTCTGAGGTGTTTTCCCTGTCAGATACTCTGTTTTCTTGACATGATAGAGCAACCAATAGGCAGTATGTCGGTCAGYAGATTTGACCTTCACAACCCAGGGTATTACACAGTTGTCTGGTGCTGTTKTCAGGACAAAGAACCTATTTTAGCMAAAGGTCAGGAGCTAACAGCTCACCTGTGGGCTTTGTAGTAAGGAAAAGTTCTTTATGTGGTCGCTTATATGAAATGTTCCAGTATATATTCTGAGGTTGCCATTGCATGTAACAAAGGAACAACCGATGATTACTTTGTAGTTGGAAACAGGGGCAAATGCCTTACCAATTTCAACACAATATTGTCTGGAATGAAGGATACCTAACCCAGAAAGATTGTGTTGAACAGAAAATGACGGTCCTTTTTTTTCCTCCCCAAGATCAGAATTTTTTTTGGTTTTTCTCTTCAAATCCATAACACTTTTCTCATTTCCATTTCTTAATTATTTCCCAGAAAGGTGTTCCAGGGATTGGTCCAAGTGATTACATGGTATTGCAAGGTTCTTGCATTCCCAAAAATTCAATACATTCATGACTCAATTTTTTGCCAAGAAAGGGAATTGCCAATTAATTCCTGTACGGGCTTCCTGCAATCAAATGATCAATATATTAGCGGTCTATCAGAATATGAATGTATGTTAAGAAGAAYTTAAGACACTATAGTGTTTCAGATAATGATAAACAAACTTAGGTGCCTCCAGTCATCAGAGATACAATTGCTTCCTGAATGATAATGTCCTCATTGTAATCCTCAKTTATTTCTTAAATGATTCATACAATTTAATCCACTTCTGTTTCGACAAGCATGTTGCTGTCTGTAGGATATCAGACCGTGGGTATGACTCATATATACAACACATACATATGACACATATCTACAATTCATACACACCATACATATATGACTCACTCAATCCCATTGGATTTTGTCACTCCCACACATGTAGCTCTCGTCATAAAAACTTCCCATACAAGACTGTTGCATTCACTCTCCAAACTAATTCAACTGTCTATATTGTTCCTCACTTCTTTCTGTTTCTGGTATTGACCAAACCCATGGGGAACTGGCACTTTAGTCACATTTGTAGAGACATGATTCTATTCCTTTCATCACTCTCCATAGTCAATCATCCTTCATTACCTTCCATCCCTTAATGTCCCACCATGGGATATAACAACTAGAATCCCAACATTCATTATCCTCCCCACTCCTCAACTCTAAAATGCCAGGTTGAAACCCTGCACCTCCCCAATGCATACATTTCTTGACAACAATCCTAGCAAGGGGAGAAAGCAAATTCTACCTTTTCCATGGGTATGTTCGCCCRCTTGCATCCAACTCTCTTCTGTGGGCCAAGTTTGATGTTTGTCCAATGCCAATGTTGTCATAGCATTCCTTGTCTTTGGTGTTTGTCAGCACAGGATAACCACACAAAATGTAGCACAGAATGATGCCCAATGCTCAAACATAAATGTCCCTGTTTATTGGATATCTGTTGTTGTTGTACTYGGTGCATACTTAGTCAGCCACGTAGTCAACAGCCTTGTGGAAAATAATCCTTGACTCAATTTTGTCAAAATATCACTTTCTGCTGTTTAGTTGTTTCCTGAGTATTCTTGTGAGGTTGCAACCATTCAGAATTTCCAGTACCTTTGAACTATTTTTTCAACATAAATCATCAGAATTGACCGTCCCAAAATGATACATGTGTGGGTTGAGGTCAATGAGCTCTGAAATGTACCATTGCTTGCCACAGCTCACACTTTTCTTGTAGTTTTGTTGTCATTCCAGTAAACCCTCAAGGCTCCCCACAATTTCCATCTTTTTTGGTAACCATGATAACAAAGATTTTTCTCAGTATCATTGCACAACTTTGCCTTTTGATTGGACACTACAAGGTCATAAAGATCCTTGTCAGACAGTGCAGTTCACTGGTCAAAGATTATTTCTGTTGGTTGAACTGGAACATCAAAATTACCCCTCCATATGTATAGCCAAAAATACCAATTTATCTGAAGTTTGGCTGGTCGTGTACACCAGACCCACCCCTTGCAGTTTGATTGTTCACGTCCTTTTGTTTCATCTGCCGTAGGTCCTAACCTGACCTCATTCTTGTACAACTCCCTTCCCTCTAAATTGTTCAAWCCCAGGTAACCATACAACATATACCAGAGAATGATCCCCGTTGCCCATGTGCACCCATTATTCTGACCATCGAGTGTACCACTTTTCTTGTCAAGGATGTTTACAAAGTTGACAGCCCTCAGCCAGACCCCTCTGGCCTCTACCTTGTTGAATTGCCCCACCCTGCTGCTAAGTAGTCGGTCCACTGTTTCTCTTAGTCCACACCCATTTAGGATTTGTAACACATGATGGCCATGTTTCTGAGCAATGGGGATATGTACTTCCCAAGGAATGTCACTAACCAGCACCATGGTGGGAACAATGACACCAGAACCCTGTTCCAGATTTGTGTSGAGACTGGTCTGTAGCTAGATTTGAATTCAAATTTAAATCCATGGYGACTGTCGGCCAAGCAACGTGTCTGCATATAATTGAGGAAAAATATCTAGACCCATCAAGGAACCACCACAGTCTTGTATCACAGAGACTGGAATGTTGCAGTAAAGTTAACTACTTGAGTAGGAGGGTGATGATTATGAATTTTGTATGTGCACTTAGGCTGTACATCTGACCTATTTTTAATCCCTACAYGCAAGTCAGCCATGTATAGATATTTTAGAAAACGCTGGGTGGATAACTATTCACTGTAGTCTTCTACCACAGAGACTGTTTGAGTATTGGAAAGCACATCATTGGGTATTGTGACAAACCTTCAASTCCATCGGGTGTCAGCTTTTTGACAAAAGTAAATTTAAAGGCTTATTTTTTATGCACTGCCTTTGAAGACTTCCAAGATAATAACTAGGTGTTTCATTTTTTAATTATCATGTGGCAACACAATCAAAATGTCAATAATAATGAGATATCATTTTCAAATAGTATGACAAGGGGGATGTCTTTTATCCATTGTATGCAGTCC